GCCCAGGAACGCGGTGCTGGTTCTGCGGCGGTGGTGGCCGCGGCCGGAATAGCGACCCACAGTCAGCGCCCCGCCTGGCGCCTGCAGGGGTAAGCGCGTGGTCCGGGTGGAGGCGAGGGGGTGGCTGTAGGGGTGCGGAGGGAGGGCCAAGTGGAGAGGGAAGACTGCCGCGAGGGAGGGGCGGCTCGCGCCTGAGCGCGGGAGGTGGCGCCTTCAGCTCCGGACAATCTGCGCGCGGGCGGAGGCGTTAAACCCAACCTGGCAACGCGGCTTCCCCCGGGAGCGGCGAGCGCGGGACCCGGGCCCGCGAGCGCCCTTTTGGGGAGGGTTGGCGCCGCTGCCTCCAGGCAGCACCAGAGCGGGGGAGGAGTGGACGAGCCTCACTGGTCCCTAATACCGCCTTTCCCGTTTCGGATAGCAGGGATGGAAAAGTTAACAACTCTTTCTTCATTTTCTTCCCACCCCCAGCCGTACGGCACGAAATAAACGCAGAGTGACACTCGCCAAAGCCTGAATCCGGCATTTGACCGCCCTGTAGGATTTGGTGCGGTTGTAGAATTCGATTGGGGACTGCCGCAGAACTGCCCCCAGATTACAGAAGACCCTTAAGCAAGGCTGGGGGTGCACTTCTGGTCTTGATTCACGACTTGCCCTTGGTTTCTCTTTGCCTGATGCCTAGAAGCGCTCCCCGTACCCCTAGCCCCGCACTTTCCCGGGCAGCGACTCCTGCGTGTAGACTTTAAAAGAGAGTCAGTTAAGAAAAAGCGACATCTACAAATGCTCCTCCCCTTTCGGAAAACGCCTCACTGCACGGTCCCAAATCCCCTAAGACCCCAGTCTCTTTCTCCCCCGAAAGCCTCATTTGGCCACCGCAGCATTTGGCCACTCTGTACACAGCTGGCCTTGGTCGCTCTGAGGAAGTCTTGGCTGCCCTTCCCAAGACCAGGGCCTCTCCCAAGAAGGAGCATCTCTAAATCCCTGGGTGAGGGGATCCCTCAATCCACTCTTAGATATAGCCAATTTGAATAGTCATCTGAAATTACCTTGGTAACTTCCTTTTGGTCACCTTGTTTGTGTCTTATACCAAGTAGTGGTAATGAAAATCCTCTTTTAAAGTGGTACGATCCCTTTTAATTTCTCCCTGCTATCTGGATTAATAAAGGCACCCCTTAACAGTGTTGGAAACTGTTCTACAATAGTAGAGCTGGAATAGACTTAGAGACTTTTGGATACATCTATAAATGGGGAGACCTGGTTGAGGTGAGGTCAGGCAGCTAGAATTGGTGTGGTATCACTGATTGATACCACAACCGATGAGGGGTATCAATGATACCCTCAGTGAGGGGCTCTGACTTCAGGGTCAGAGTACCTGAGGATTGGAACCAGGTGCTCCACCAGATCTTTAGGAAAAGCATAAAATTGGGGCACATAGCTGGCTCAGTTGGTGGAGCATGTGACTCTTGATCTCAGGGTTGTGAGTTCGAACCTCACCTTGGGTGTGGAGATTACTCTTTTTTTTTTTTTTTCTTAAGACTGTATTTATTTGAGAGAGAGCACAAGCAGGGGAGAGGGGCCAAGAGGAAGAAGCAGACTCCCCACTGAGGAGGGAGCCCGATGTGGGACCCAGCCTCAGGACTTCGGGATCATGACCAGAGCCAAACAGATGTCCAACTGACTGAGCCATCCAGTCATCCCTGGATGACTATAAAAAATTAAGTTTTTTTAAAAAAATCATAACGCTAACTTCAGTAGAGGTGCTATTAAAATGAGATTATGTAATGCAACTGGTGCTTGGTGTGGATAAATTGATGTTGTTGATGTTTTAAAGAGGCTTTTCAGTGCTCCTCCAGCCTCCCACAACCTATTCTTGGCTTAGTTCTGATTCCTGAATAGCCTAGTAACTAGCCAGTCCTCCATCCCTACCTATCTTCCCAGTCTGTAAAAGGAGTAGGGGAGCTCTTAGTTGAGTTTTGTGAACATCTCTCACCTGACACCATTCCTGATTTTACAGAATAGACTCCTTTTTCATCAGTGAATTCCAAAATGCAGAAAAATAGGGACATTGTACATAAAAATGTGGCAAAGGAGCTGGAATAGCATGATTATAGGACTCCGAATCTGGATGATTCTGGAACCAACTCACCCCTATCAATCTTGGCTGAGTGATGGAGTAAATGTTGGTGAAAACAACTTCTCCCCCAAGTCACACTTTTGTAAAAGAGCCAGTGGTCCTACCCACCCTTAACAGTGGGTCTGAGGGCTCTAGATATTTGGGGACTTGGGTCATGACGATACAATTTTTCCTTCTCCTTTTAATCATCACAGACCAGCTTTTTCCTCAAACAGCTTGGGGATCACCATTTCCCTATCCCTGAGCCCAAGTCTAGAAATTTCCTGGAGAGCTTAATACATTAACATAAGGGGAGAGAAGGGATCTGAGGGCCTCAGAGTAAGTGCTCCTGGTGCTGGAGAGTACCTAGAGGGTACTTGTGAGGAAAGGTGTAAGGAAGAGTCTCTAAATTTGGTTTGAGTTTGTTTGCTTTTCATTTATGCAAATTTGTCCTACATTTAAATTGATTCTAAATATAGAGGAACATGACTTAAGTTTGTTCTCCCAAAACTTAAGTTCTTTTTTAAATCTTTCGGAAAATTTGAAAAGACAGTGCAGTGAATAACAGGTTTGCCTCCCAATAATTAACGTTATCCCTTATTTGCCTCTATTTCATTCTCTGGGTTTTTTTTTTTTTTTCTGTGTAAATCTCTCCCCATTATTATACAGGCTGCCAACAGTTTTCATGTCTTGAATATTTGCTATATGCAGGGACCTGTGCAGAGGGATTTGTATGGAACATCTCATGAAATCCATATCTCTGAGGCACCTGGATGGTGCCATTGGTTAAGCATCCAGACACTTGGTTTTGGCTGAGGTCGTGAACTTAGGGTTGTGAGATGGAGCTCCGCATCAGGATCTGAGCATCCTCTCTCTCTACCCCCACCACAGCCCCTCTCCAAGATAAATAAATAAAACTTAAAAAAAAATCCATACCTCCATCCTATCAAATAGGTTATTGACCTTCCTAATTCTACAAAAGACTCTTGGGTGCATAGAGATGAGACTTGCTCTAGCACTCCAGAGCCCACTTGTTTCATCATGATTTTATACTACCTCAGGATCTCCCTTATGCATTACTACAGCTCTGTCAAGACTGTCAGGCTCAGGGGCACCTGGGTGGCTCAGTGGATTAAGCCGCTGCCTTCGGCTCAGGTCATGATCTCAGGGTCCTGGGATCGAGTCCCACATCAGGCTCTCTGCTCAGCAGGGTGCCTGCTTCCCTCCCTCTCTCTCTCTGCCTGCCTCTCCGTCTACTTGTGATCTCTCTCTGTCAAATAAATAAATAAAATCTTTAAAAAAAAAAAAAGACTGTTAGGCTCAGAGAAGTGAAGACATTGGCTGGAGGTGACAGCACTGAAATTCTACGGCAGCCTCACCACAGTGAGAATGAAATTGAGGAGACTGCTGTGGAGTTAACTCCAGCAAGCCTAAGTCTCACTTTCTTTTTTTTTTAAGATTTTATTTATTTATTTGACAGACAGATCACAAGTAGGCAGAGAGGCAGGGAGAGAGAGTGGAGGAAGCAGGCTCCCTGCTGAACAGAGATTTCCCTGATGGGCTCGATCCCAGGACCCTGGGATCATGACCTGAGCCAAAGGTCTCATTTCTTGACTCAGTTTTCCCACCTGTGTCACGACTGGAGGCAGGGACTGTGCTGGCTCTCCAAATATGTTCTCTATAGTCTCTATTGAATGGAACGCACTGAGTAGATAACTTGTCTCACACCTACCTCAGGAAGAGGGTTTTTTTTTTTTTTTAAAGATTTTATTTATTTGACAGAGAGAAATCACAAGTAGGCAGAGAAGCAGGCAGAGAGAGAGGAGGAAGCAGGCTCCCTGCTGAGCAGAAAGCCCGATGTGGGGCTCGAACGCAGGACCTGGGATCATGACCTGAGCCGAAGGCAGCGGCTTAATCCACTGAGCCACCCAGGTGCCCCAGGAAGAGGGGTTTTTTAAAAGCTTTTCCACAAACCTGTAAGTGGGAGAAGTTGAGCAGTGTGGCTCTGATCACCTGCCTTCAAATCCTGATTGCTCTAGACCCTGTGGTCCAGGGTCCTTCTCTGAAAAATGGTATAACACATGGAGTTTTTGGAGGACTGAGACAATGAATGCTGACCACAGCGCCTGGGACATTTGAGCACCCAATGATGGCCATGATTACTGTGCCATTGTTCTCCTGGTCTCACCTGCAGCAGGTGTAAGACAAAAGTGAACTGTTGAACCAAGCCATTGCAGGGTAAATGGGCTCTATTTGTCATGGCCACGACAGCCTTCATTTCCAACATCTGTTAGTTGTCAGAGTAGGTCTTGCTTTGCCCTAGCTAGTGGGCATAGGTGGTTCCCAAAGCTTCCCAGCTGGGCATCCTGTGTGTCCCCATCCCTTTAGACCGCATAGACCACTGTGCGTTCTATTCAGGTTCACACCCCACCTTCCCTTTGGACCTCTGGGAATGAGCAGTCCTCAGCCTCCTAAGAGGTCATGGGATACAGGTCTACAAGTGACCGTCTCAGCACTGGCATCTCAAAGGACCTGGTGCTCCCACATGGATACCTAATTACAGGGTGGGAGTGGGGGGGCAGGACCCCTCCGTTCTTACTACCTGCATCCCCGTCTGCCTTTACCCTCCCTCCCCACAGACAATGCAGGCAATAGCATTCAGACAAACCAAGACAGAGCCTGTTTATTGGGGAAAGACTAAGGTCTGTCAGGTGGGCTTAGTAAAATAAATAAAGGAGGAGGAGCTCTTATTGTACACTATTTACAACCTGCAGGATGACCTCATGACCAGCTGGGAGCCATGAAGTCCTCTAGGGGCCAAGACCGCCCTCCTTCACAGCAACGGGAGAGGTCCAGCAGGCGGGCCAGGGTAGACAGACAAATGTGTATTTCATTTCAATTTCGGAGAAAGGCTGCACTTCTCGAGGATCTGGAAAGGCAGCATATGAGTCAGGGAGGTCTCATTTATTGCCACTAGTAGCTGCAGCTTGCCCAGGCAGTCCTGCACTGCGGCCTCAGCATGCCCGCCTAGGCCCAAGTCCACGGGGTGCGGGTGCTGTAGCATACGGTCAGCCAGCGCCAGGCAACAGATGGCCAGCAGGGAGGGAGTATAGCTGGTGAAGGCATAGTCGGCCAGGCTCAGCTCCGCCACACCACGTGCCAGGGCTTGTGCCTCCAGGGCTTCTGAGACCTCAGCCTGCCCGGCCTCCACACGAGCGTGCGTGAAATGCTCCAGGAAGAAGCTGATGGTTGGCGCGCCCAGGCTGAAGTGGAGTTTGTGCAGCACGATGCACTCGAGGTTGCAGAGTTGTTGCTGAGAGAAGGCGCCGCAGCACAGGGCCAGGAGCTGCTTCATGCGCGGCGGGTGCACCTCCACCTGCAACACAGGGGCGTCCAGGCCCACCCCAGTCTCAAACCTGGGAGAAAACCAGGACTCCCCCCATCCCTTCCAGACAGATAGCTGGGCCTTCGCCTCTCCCTTTCTTCCACTTTAATTGCCTAGGGTGTACTTCCAGCGCAGTTTCTCTAACTACTGTCCAGCTAAAAAACGTTTGAGAAATTTTAAATGCCCCCCCCCAAGCCTAGAATAGCAGGGCTACAAAGTGCTATTGGGATTTACTTTTGAGACTGACTCCAACCTATTTTAGGGGTGGGTGACGGGGCTGTTAGTTGGGAGAGGGGGCCATTATTGAGAAGTTAAAGCTATGGGATATATAGGTTTGCAAATGTAGGACAGATGAATTCAGAGCGCCCAGCACTAAATCTTGTGCGCTGGAAAGCCGGGTGGTGGCCAGAGAGTCCCCGTGAGTTTGGCTGTCCCCCAGACCCCACGTGGAGGTACCTGTTTGCAAGCGATGAGCAGGGACGTGACCCCAAGCAGCTGGAAGCAGTCTGCAGCCACAGGCGTGGTGGTAAGAAAGCGGTCCAGAGTGTTCACCGTCAGGCAGAGAGATTCAAAGGAGAGGTGGAACTGGCGGTGCACTGGGATCAGCCAGCTAAGCAGCTTACAGCGGGATTCCGCCGTTACCTGCGGGAAGGGACGTGGGAGGAGGACCCATTGAGCCGAGGGCAAGGAGGGTCTGCAGAAGGAACCTGCCAAGAAAACTCAGGGAGATTCCCTGGAGGAAGGCACAAAAAGGGAAAACCTAAATGCGGTGGAAACTGGGAGACACTGGGACGGTGCTGCTGCGCGAAGAGTAATGGTCGGGCCAGGACCTGGAAGCCTTGGATTCGTACCTAGCCCTGTACCAAGTGTGTATACACATTACCCTGTGTAATCCTCTCAGCAATTCAGTGAGGGGAGAGGGCCACCACTTTGCAGATGAAGAAATCAGCTCAGAATTGTTAAATGGCTTGCCCGGGGTTGGGAGGAGTCTAGAACCTAGAAACTGTCTTCGCTCCTCTGCATTCTACCGCGTTCCCACTAACCAGTATGGAAACTTCGGGCAGATCACTTAAGCCGTCCAGGCCCCAGTTTTCTCCATTTGTAAAATGAGGCTAGTGGCCCGGCCCTGTAAAGCCCTTTCCCGCTCGGGTCGCGAAGCTCCGTGCCCCGGGGCGCGTCGGAGGGCGGACGAAGCAGAAGAGGAAGGAGCCCGAGAAGGGAAGAGGAGTAGGGGTAGGGACCTCGCTCTCCCAACGCCTCACTTGTGGCTGCCGCGCCAGCGACTCCCGCGGGTGGAAGTGGCTCTCCCGCGCCTTGCGGAAGACGTAGCAGCTCTGACCGTAGTCACGGAAGGTCTGTAGATCTAGCTGGGCAAACTGCTGGGCAGGAGCGGGTAGGGGGCTGCAGCCTAGCGCCGCGGATGCTGCGGGACTGTCTGCACCATCAGACCCGGAGCTGGGGGACTCGAACAGGTCGCAAACACCGGAGTCTCCGGGGAGCGGGCACGGGTTCAGCGGCTGCAGCGGCTGTTTTCTCCGGAGGCGTGGGCGCCTGCTCTTCTTCACCGGGGCGCGGAGGTTCTGGTCGTGGTCCCGCTTCCCGGCCCGGGCGGCGGGACTCACGAGACTGGTGGGGCAGGGGGTCACCATGGTGCAGCCCGGTGGCCGCTCTACGACTCCTCGCCTTGCGACAAACCGAAAGCGCGCTCCAGAGTCCGCAGTAGGCTGGCCAGAGCCGCGGCGAGTCCCTAAGTACTCGGCGGGCTCCTTACCTACCACACCCCCGGCTTCTCACTGGATGACTACTGAGCGGCATTAGGCCGCGCTTTCCCGGCTAAAGAACCGCTTCAGAGCAAGCTGCTGGCAGGGTGTAGTCTGCGCAGCCTGCAGCGGAGAGGAGGAGCTACGCCCGATGGAGCGCACCCGCCCTGTCCTGCCCTTCCGCGCGCGTCCCGCGTTACCCAGGTAACGGAGCCCGGGGTGCGCCGAGAGCTGCGCGCGCCGCCCGGGGTGGGGGTGGGGCGGCGGCGGCTAGGTGGAGTGTGCGCAGAAGCCAGCCGTGGGGCTGGACTGCTCTGGAGCCAAAAAGATTTTCCTCGCCGCCTTCTCCCCGTCGAGGTCCAGCTAGTCTTGCAAGTGCTATCACCTTTCAGGCCGGCTGTAATTCAGGTCGGTAATTTGGTAAAGATCAGTTAACGACCTTTCAGGGCTCCAACTAGAACTCTGTCAGGACAGGAGTTTTCCTCGCTGACTCATTCACGCAGTTAATTCTAATTCCATTGCTTTTGTAATTTTTGTTTTAGGCCGGACCCTGGGATCCAGTATCCCTACTTGCGCTGGTCTCGGGGAGCAGACCCTCCACAGGTTCTCCTGCGCTGTGTATCTGGGCAGCCTCCCAGGCAGGCACTCATGCTCAAAACCAAAGACTGCCCCGCGAACATCAGACAGCAGGTCTCAACTCCTCTAACACTTGCTGCACACTTGCCACACCAAACCAAGTAAGCTGGAGAGGTTAAGGACATGACATGGTTGGAGCGTCGGATTACTAGCTTGATCGAATTGCTCACACCTGCCACGGGCGCCTCACGCTTCCTCGGTTTTTCGCTGCTCTCAGTTCTGTTCCTAAAGAAGCTCACAAAAGTAGAGCTGGAGCGGAGGCAGGGGAGGGCCCAGGTAGGAGGGACTGAGGTGGATGTGGCAGTTTCCTGAGGGTTAGTCTTCGTAGAAGCTGGAGGCCTAAGCCTGAGTGAAAAGGGGCACAAGTACTATGGAGTCAGCCTTACAGGGACGTCTCAGTGGCAGGAAACCCACTAGACCTTCAGCCTGATGAACCTTCCAGAGGCACTCCCAGAAGTGAGGTTGTTAGGTATCCCAAGAGCAGGTTCAGCCATTCCCACCTCATTTCAAAAGAAAGCTGGGGAATGTATGTCATCAGATTGAAATCCCAGTCCCCAGAACTTGGGGAGTGGGATGTTGTCTCTTAGAGATGCAGGAAAGAGAAAAGAGAAGGATTTGGGGTTGTGGTCAGTTTTACTCCTATTTCCCCGTAATTCTGAGAAAGGTCTTTAGTCTCTCCACCTAAATAGTTTCATTTATCACTTGAGAGATTAGCTAAGAACCACCTGTCTTTCAAAATAGAGGTGCCAGGACTTGCAGTCTCCTCTCAAGCTGTTGTTGGGGAACCATTATGGGTTGAGCAGGGAAATCTGTGGAGAGGGGTCAGCTGTCAGACTTCTTCCTTGAGAAGCTTTCTGGATAAGGAGGAAAGACCTAGAAATTCTGATTCTTCTCATCAGCCCAGATGAGCATGTGGTACAGAGCACAAAGTCAATTCCCAGGGTCAGAATTGTCACTCCCATTTACTGGTCATCATGGTGTAGCTATTTATCTTCTCAGAGTCTCTGTTCCTCATTTGTTAAAACTGGTTATTACTGCTTGTCTTGAGGACCAAGTGAAATATGTTGAATGCTCAAAGTCCCTTTAAAATATAAAACGGGGGGGGGGGGGCGCGCCTGGGTGGCTCAGTGGGTTAAAGCCTCTGCCTTCCGCTCAGTTCATGATCCCAGGGTCCTGGGATCGAGCCCCGCAGGGAGCCTGCTTTCTCCTCTCTCTCTGCTTGCCTCTCTGCCTACTTGTGATCTCTCTGTCAAATAAATAAATAAAATCTTAAAAAAAAAACCAACAAAATGAAATATATATATATATATATATATATATATAAAACAGGGGGTTACATTAAAGCCTCTATTGGGAAGTCAATATTATTACCCTGGAGATATTCTGAAAAAGCAGAAAGATCATTTTATCCACATGGATGTGAGGGTAGTGTCTGTAGTTAGAATTAACTCCCAACAGATGGTGCCTGAGCTTTGTACTGATGGGTTTACTCCTCAGTATTTGTGGATATGCCTGCCAAGCCTGGTGTAAGACCGTGATCAAGGCTGCATGGGTCCTGGGGCTCCTGGCTGGCTTCGGTAGAGCGTGAGACTCTTGATCCTGGGGGTTGTAAGTTCCAGCCCCAGGTGGGTGGTATAGTTTACTTAAAAAAAAGCACACACACACACAAAAACTTTTTTTATGGAGAGCCCAAGTAGGCAGAGAAGCAGGCTGTCTGCTGAGCAGGGAACCCAATGCGGGGCTCAATCCCAGACCCTGGGAACATGACCTGAGCTGAAGGCAGATTCTTTTTTTTTTTTTTCTTTTTAAAGATTTTATTTATTTGACAGAGAGAGAGAAATCGCAAGTAGGCAGAGAGGCAGGCAGAGAGAGAGAGGGGAGGAAGCAGGCTCCCTGCGGAGCAGAGAGCCCGATGGGGCTCGATCCCAGGACCCTGGGATCATGACCTGAGCAGAAGGCAGAGGCTTTAACCCACTGAGCCACCCAGGTGCCCCTGAAGGCAGATTCTTAACTGACTGAGCCAAACAGGTGCTGTCCCTCTGTCCCTCCCCCGCTCCCACTCTGTCCCCCCTGCCCCCCCCAAAAAAAAACCCTTTTAAAAAAAAAAAGGCTACATTCTTCACTTCCCCCACTAGAGTATCAGCTCTATGAGGGAAGTGAAGAACCATGTGACACATTTAAAAAATATTATGATAGAAGACCTTCTCAATAAAATACAGGATACCCAGTTAAACAAATGTCAGATAAATTTTAGTATGATTGTGTCTCAAATAGTGCATTGGACATTGCAGTGCCTTGTAGGTACATTAAATGTTTAGACTTTACCTTAAGTCATTGAAGAAGCTTTACCAAGATAGAATCTGCCTTTTGTTTTAAAAGATTATTCTGGCTGAGGTGTGAAAAATGGATTGTAGGAGACAAGACTGGAGGCTGTTTAGGTGCAGTATTTGTGGTATGAACAATCCAGTGCAATTTAAGGCCGTATTTTCCCTATGAAGGGTCTTTACATTTCTCTTTTCTCGTCTGAGACCTAGGTACAATGCACCTTTAAGGCACTAGGTAAATCTAAAATACTTTAAAGGTGTAGAACTTAATTAAACCCAGGCTTCTATAATGAAAGCTACTTAACCATGATTTGGCTCTGCTTATTTTCAGGCGCGGTTTTTGAAATCTGCAGGATGGATAATGGAACTGAAGTTATCTTGTTGTTTTCTTCCAGTCTGACGTTCAAGCCTCAGTTGAAAGCTCCCACCGTCATCCCGCCCCAACTCTTGGACTGTGATGGAGGTAGGAAGAATACATTTGCTAACAGTACGTTGTTTAGCAGAGTAAGCGGGTTGGGCTTGGTACTTAGAGGTGGACAGCTTTGTTAGTGCCTCAAATGGTCGTTAAGCTCACTTTATATTTTAAGTCACTAGAATTTATATCTATCACTAAAAATTATATTTACTATATATGTTTTCTATTAATGTATTTAAGTGCCCAGATTGAGAAGTATTTAAGGTACTAAAAGTCAGACAAGTTTTTTTGGTATTTAGTAAAGAGCAGGAATTTTCTTTTTTCTTCTTCTTTTTTTTTTTTTTTTTTTAAGGATCTTATATATTTGAGAAAGACAGTGTGAGTGCAGAGAGGGAGAGGCAGACTCTCTGCTGAGCAGGGAGCCTGATGCGGGGATCCCAAGGACCCTGGGATCATGACCTAAACTGAAAGCAGACACTTAACAGACTGAGCCACCCAGGTGCCCCCAAAGCAGAAGTTTTCAACACAGGTTTTTTTTTTTTTTAAAGTTTTTATTTATTTATTTGACAGAGAGAGAGAGATCACAAGTAGACAGAGAGGCAGAGAGGGGGATGGGAAGCAGGCTCCCTACTGAGCAGAGAGCCTGATGTGGGACTCGATCCCAGGACCCTGAGATCATGACCTGAGCTGAAGGCAGAGGCGCCCCTCAACAGGTTTTAAAGCCAGACTTTTGACTTGCACATCTAAATGTCCACTAGTATTGGCACCTAGAGAAAAGACCATCTCTTGGTTACCTGCTTTTCTGATGTTTTGCCACTTGCCAGTTCACCAAGATTTCAGGGCGCATACTCTAGTGCATTGCTCCTTCTCTTGTGCACACATGTGCTTTCTCTCCCAACTCACACCCGCCAGTAGCATTCTGCCTGGCATAGGTGATACTGTGTAGTGGTGATGAGCTCCCGCTCTGGAGTCAGCACCTGGCTTGGCATCCCAACTCTGCAACACACAAGCTCTGTAAACGTGGGCAAGTCGCTCAACATTTTTATTCCTCCATTTTCCTGGCTGTTAAAAAATAATAAGAGTCTCCTAGAAAATTGTTGTGAGGATTAAATAAGGCATATAGTGTGTGCACTGAGTGCTCAGTGTGAGTTAGCTGCTGCTCTAATTACATTTTTCTCTAGCTAAGGCATGGCTATCCAGTGTGGCTAACACAGGACCTGCTGTAATTTTGCTGCTTGACATAATAAATGATCAGAACTGGACATTGAGAAGTCAAAGAGGAGTCAGCACAGTAGCATTTTGCTGGAGGCCAGTCCAGTCTCCAGCTCTTCTGAAATAGGGGAGACTTAGTGAGTTGTTTTAGTGGGCCTTGAAAGAATTTCTTTAAACCAGGATGATAACCTGATGCTCTCTTCACTACTTTCCCTTTAGGTGGTAGAATTGCCCATGTAGATCAGAGGTGTCAGGAGGGAACGGTCCTCATGATAATTCACTCAAAACAAGAAAAATGCAAA